TACTTGTCAGATTTAAAGAAGTGAATAGAAGTTCTTTTAGGAAAGAATGGTGAAGTGGGTAACTGCGTACTGCTGGTGGAAATGGCAGTGGAGATGCATCTGGACAAGACCTAGCTAGCTTCAGCAGTGACACGTACAGCTATGTACACGGATATTGTTGGAGTCTGTTTCAGATAGCAAGATGCTTTAATGGACCCCTTTATAGTTTTTTTTTAACTTTAAGCATAGCTATACAATTAAATGATGAATAAACTAGTCATCAAACATTATATCTACTGGAAAATATTAGCCAAGTAATATCTCCCTGTGGACAGGGGACAACCTGCAGCTGAATTCTCATTCCAAAGTCACTTTCCTATTGTAACGAAGTGATCCTGATATTCCTTTCAAAAACACAAATCTGTAGCAGCTGTGGGTAAGCTCCCTGGAAAAAAAAACCTGTCCATAAAAATGTTGAGCCAATTATAAATTACAAAAATGTGAAATATAAGGAAAACATATTTTGTATAAAACTGGTTCCCTTCCCTGTCAGTGCTCCTTTCCCATTTTTTCTCTTTTAAAGTCAGTTCTTGCTAAGACTTTTGTACTGAAAATTGACTGAAATTAAGTAGGCTCTAGGTTATTTATTCATAGAGCTAAAAGGCTTTTCTGTTCACTCTAAGTTCACAGTTTGGGGGCTCCTTTTTAGTAAGAGAAACAAGATGTAAAGGTAAGAAATTATTAATGTCCCTGACATATAGTTTAATTTCCTTTATGCATAGACTTGACCAAGATGCACTGACACATCACTCATTATTTTAGTGAAGATTGAAAATTAGAGACTCTGAATTGTCAAGAAAGGCATGCCAAGTGCATTGTCACCTCTGTCTACCCAGGAGGACAGATTCTAGAAAAATTGCCTTTTTTCTTTAAATCTATAAAATAATCAGAAATGAGGACTCCAGGTTTATGACTTTTATCCTTTGTTCTGGCCATGTTATTTGTCATTCTGTGCTGGGAATTTTTTTTGTTTTCTTACTCTGTGTATGCATATATACTTGCATACGCATGTGTGTATGTATATGTGCATGTGCGTGTGTGTGTGTGTGTGTGTGTGTGTGAATGATGTGGGTGAGTAAATATATCATGTATGTGGAGCAGTGAAGTAAACAAAAGATACGAGTAAGGAAGACAGAAGGGAAGGATGCTGTTTCAATTTAGGTGTGATAACAAAAATAACATGCATTCCTAGGGAAAAAAAATCTTTGATTTTTAAAAAAAATGAAAGAATAGTTTAAAATGCCTTACTATTAAATAAAGTACTTTAGGTATTTTTAATTAACTAATTAATTAATTTGCTGGAGATTAAACCCATGGCCTTGTGCATACTAAGCATGCACTCTACCACTTAGCTGTAACCCAGCCCTGATTAGCATATTTAAATCAGGCTTCCATTTTAATATTGTCTCTTTTATAATATTAGCCAATTTTAGAATAATTAATCTGCCTACGAAAGTACTTTTCCCTTTCTCTCTAGAGTCTGGGCTATGGGAATACAGAGAATACATGTTCCTGCCTTCAAGGTATTTTCAAGTAGTTGGAGACATAATCAAGCATCAGCCTGTTGCTAACATGTGGAAGCATTTACCATAGACTGGAGACTGGCTCAGATGCTCTACCTGAACAATTTAATCTGTAACCACCTGAGAGGTAGATACTGCTGTTACTCGCATTTTAAAGTAGAGAAGCTCCCCAAGATACACAGCCTCTGGTAAGTCAGCGGCAGAGACCACTGCATGTGCAGAATGCCCATCTCCAGCCTTTGTTCCTAACACTCAGTGACTCTCCTGCACTCAGAGAGTCCTGTAGCCAGCTGACCATCTTTGCTCCTGTTTTGTCAAATAAGTATATGGGTCAAGGCACTGAAGCTTCATTCAGAATCTTTGTGTACCCACTTGATTTGAAGTCCCTACTGAAAAGCTGGGTGGGTATGAGTCTAAGAGTGACAGTCACCAGGGACATCTGTGCCTAGGAGAGGGAGCAGGCCTGGATGACCCCCAGAGTTCCTTCCAGCTCTAAGGTGTTTACGAAGTGTTCTGTCCTTTGTTCTATGTGTGAATTTTAACTCTTGTGAAAACATCGAATATGTCATGCTTGCTTTGTTGATTAAGGTGAAACAGGAACGACAGGGTTTTGGTCACTGCCTTTTCTAATTACTTCAGTTCTGGAAATGTTTATCAAGCGACTCTTCTGTAGGAAGCCCTCCACTGCACCAAACCATCCCATGGAACATGGTCTCCATCTTTTGATGTCTGTCAGCATAACCTCACATAGAAATCTGATCATCATCTCTTTTCCCCACTCTCTCTTCCAACTGTTTATGATGAAAATTAAAAGCTTCAATGAATCGTAATTAGATAAATACTTGCTCTGAAATTTAGGATTTAGCTGTGATTCACTGATCAGAAAAAAATTCAGGTTTTACTTTTGGACTTTGTTTGCTTTGGATGAAGCATTTATGTTTTAGTTATGTCTATTCCTGTGCTAAAAGTTTGTAGTGACTTAAGGAAAACCCTCCTTCTATACAAAGAATAATTGTGAGGGAATTTGTAGTTTTACCTGCTTATCTATAATTGCTTCTCAGGAGGCAAGAACCATGGGAACCTGAAATTAGAACACTGTGAAATACCCACATTTGACCTTTTCTAACTAGAATAGCTAACGTGTAATTTTTGTACTAAATTGTAAGTCCTGTTATTCTGAATTCCATTCTTGAGTCAGCAGTCACAAGTGACGGAGTTAGGGGTAACTGGTGGGTTGGGATAACTAGAGGCTGCAAATTAGGAAGAGACCCGTGTCTGAGAGCCACTGGACTAGCACATGGGAGTCATTGTAAGCATCTCACCACCTCTTTTGCTATTGTAAAGACCACCTATAGAAGGTATCCTTTTTCTGGGTTCTCACAAATCTCTCCCAGTGTCCTAGGAAACAAGAGGAACAGTACTTCCTTGGGCCCCTCCTATAGGAGATTCCATTTTCTCAGCACGGGGGATTTTGAAAGTCACACATCTTGGTCCATCCCAGAACCAAGGTCATGCATTTTGCTTCCTCCTATTTTGTGGCCTGGTTTCATGACTGGGGAGGTGTGCTTCTCCTCTTTACCTCTGTAAGGGACCTTAAGAGACTTTCTTCCTCATTTCAAATCCTTCACAAGTAATTATTTCCCTGAAGTAATCCAAGGATCCCCTCAACTCAGAGCAACTCTTAGAGAGTCACAGAAATACATTATCTGACCAAATTTTATTAGTCTGTTCTTAATATTTTGACAAATTTTTGTTACACTCTGAATCCATAAGGAGAGTCATACAACTACATGTTTCAATATTAATTAGTTTACATCCTATTAATTTGTAAACCCAATGGTAATAATTATTCACTTCCTTTATATCCCCCCAAATTCATTTAGATCAATTATGTCATTTTTACATTTTGTTTTTAAAAATCTGTATTTAAAAAAAAGTTTTCTATTTTTCTAGCTTGATGAATATTCTTTTTAAATAAAATATATTTTTATACATTTAAACGTATGAAATCTAATTTTCCCTTACTAATGCTATGGAGCTGATGTAGAATACATATAATGTTTCAATAAACAAAGTATTTTCTCTCTCCTTAAAGTCTGGATTTTGAGAGAGATCGAGTTGGTTAGTTATAGAGTTCATTGCACATCGTAGTGCTTTCTTGAATAGTATGTGTGATGATTATCACATATCTAGAAATGAAATAAAACCGGACTCATGTGACAGCATGAAGAGTAAACAGAATGAAAGTGGCATTAACTAAGAAAAGGAACTTTAGCTGAAATATTTAAGTCCAAGCTGGGGAAAGATAAAGCACACATGAAATTTTTAAGTGTTTAAAAATTATTTTAGGGGCTAGGGCTGGATCTCAGCAGTAGAGCGCTTGCCCAGCACGTGCGAGGTGCTGGATTTGATCCTCAGCACCACATAAAAAGAAATAAAGATATAAAAAATTTATTTTAGTAAAACATCATATGGAAAGGGGAAATGCACTACCTTGGTCATTGAATGGGCAAAGATATGTGACTTCCAAATGTCATATGACCTATTATTTTAGTAAAACGTCATATGACCTATCCTGAAACTTACTTCATTTTGTGTGCTTCACATCATAGATGCATAGAGTTTCTATTGGAAGCTCAGTCATTTACTCCATCCTGCTAGAATCACATTATCGTTAAATGACTTGCTTAGGACTGACCTGTTCTCAACTGAGCCTGATTCTTCTGTCATCCTGATTTGTGCATAGGCATATTCAACACTGTGCTTTCCCTAATTTGGTTTTGTTTTTTATTTAATGATAGATGCTGTCTGTGCCACAGGTATGTTGTTAGGTTTTTACTCAGAATATCTTTTTTTTCTTACTATACTGCATGAAAGAGTTTGTCATTTATGTTTTAAATGCTTGTTTAGGATTTTTAACTTATGAAATGTGTTCACCAGTAAGTCTATGATAAATAATCTTTGTGATTTCTGGCTTTTTTTGCTTCATTGTACAGTTATTCTATTCACTGATTTCTGAAAAAGGCTCTTCATGATTTAGAACCAAATGAAATTTATATTATTATTGCTACATAAGTAAATGCTAGATAATCCTCTTATAGATTTTCTATTTTGATGAAGTTGCTTAGTATCTAAGTTGTTTCCCTTACTAAATGCACTTGTAACAATTACGGTAATTAAAATTCGACACAACTTGGAAGAATATTTTTTGTTTTGTTTTGGGTCTTTGTGGTGCTGGGGATCAAACACAGCGCCTTGCACATACTGGGCATATACTCTACCTCAAGCTACCCCAACTTTGAAGGTTTTGTTTTGTTTTTGGGGGGGGTTTCTTTTTTAGTTATTACATATGTTATTACATATTATATATGTGTGTGTGTGTGTGTGTATATATATATATATATATACACACATACACACCTTTTTTTTTATTTGCAGCTGGTTTTAGAAGAAGTTTTCGTCTTAGCAGAAAAGATAAGAAAACAAATAAATCCATGTATGAATGCAAGAAGAGCGATCAGTATGATACAGCAGACGTACCCACATATGAAGAAGTGACACCATATCGGCGACAAACTAATGAGAAATACAGACTTGTTGTCTTGGTTGGTAAGTGTTTTTGAAAGTAATTCTGCAAAAATGTGCAAAATAATAAACATTTAACTTTGAAGTGTATCATAGTTGACATTTACAAGCTAAAAATCCCATCTTGAACAGTCTTTGCTTAGTCTCTAAAATGAAATCTTTTTAGTCTTTCATACTTACATGCCATTCAGAGACTTTTAAGGCTTCTATGAGGATTAGTCCTGGCATGCTGGGGAAGCCTCTCTGGGAGAGGGGATAGCAGACCCCACTGCAATAATAGATGTATCAGAGTAACTAAATAATAGAAATGAATATTTCAAAATATAATGCAAGTTATTTTTCCATTCATTTTGAGCAGTCACCATGGTAGAAGGTTCTTACAGCTTTTAGAGCTTCAGCAAAACAAATTATTAACACAGAGTTCTAGGGCATTCCAAGCAGGGCTATCAGTTAATAAAAGTGCCTCGAGGTGTAGTAAGTGCATGCTGGTCTTTCTGCTCACATTAACATTCTCACATCTATCTTGTCCATTTTCACAGACATCCCAGCCTTGTGCTGCTCTACCCCACCTCCACTGTGTTTCTTTAAAAATGTGGTGAGAGCCATGTCAGTTTCCAGGATCCAAGCCAATAATTTTGGAAAAGTTTTTATAATAAAGGAGCATGGTGTCTCTTGTTAATTGGCTTTTTATAAACTCAAAATGACAGTTACAGGGAAGAGAATAAATGGAAAGCCAAGGAATTGCCCCATCTCGGTAAGGTGAAGAACTTTGAAAGGTTACAACACAGATGGTGGTGAATCTTGGGAAATGATGCAGTTGCTCACTTCTAATGGCACTGGAAGTGATCATTAGCACCATCAGGCATTAACTCCAAGGAAATTCCAATTTTTCTTTATTAGCAGTATTCACATCTCTTCACCTGAACCTCCCCACACCACACCTCTCTAAGTATTGATGTTAGGTAGAACTCACAGCGTCTGAACTTCTAGCCCTGATAGTCACGCTGATGAGTAAGAGCATACCATGACTCATATGGTGCTGGTGGTCATGGATAAATCCAGTGGTCCCTCGTTGGCCTTCTGCCTGTCTCCCTCTCTTTGTCCCCACTGTGCCCCTCCCTCATGGCACTGATCCCTGCAGCATCTCTTTTGTTCCCATTGCCTCTCCTTCTCAGTCCAGAGGAGATCCATTGTAATAAAGGGGCAGAGATAACACGATAGTGTAACGCTTCATTGCCCTAACATCAAGGTGACCCCTAGGCATGTGGTGCAGGCCTGTAATCCCAGCTACTCAGGAGGCTGAGCAGGAGGATCACAAGTTTGAGGTCAGGTGGGTAACTTATCAAGATGTCTCAGAATAAAAAATATTTGTGATGTAGCTGAGTGATAAAATGTCCCTGGGTTCAGGCCCCAGCACTGGTGGAAAAAAAATGACCATCACTTCTTGAAGTTTGGATAGTGAGCTTTGACCTTTCCATAGGAGATCTGATTAAAATAGGAATTTTACCTTTTTTTTTCCCCCCTGTAAGTGCTAACAATAAAAACCTTTTCCTTAGGGGTGAGAAAGAGTAGGTGGATGAGGCTAAACTATGAGTCTGAATACCCAGGTAATAATAAAAGGAAGTCATTGTCTGAAACAGATATAGGTGGTTGATGGTTATGGAAAAGAAATAGCCAACCCCTAGACTCTTCCAAAGGAAAAGCAGGTTACAGGATGCAGTCATCCTGTGTGTGGGACCTGCTCATTATGTTCTGCCCCAGGGTACAGATGAATGTAGTTCAGCACCCCTCTCTATAGTCCCCATAGGGTATAAAGAGGAAGGATGCTGTGTTATCGGCTATCCAACACCAAAACAAAATACTTGGGCTAATTATAAAGAGAAAAGCTCATTTTGGCTTGTGGTTTTGAGTGCCAGCATGATTCTACAAGGAATCTTACACCTGACCTCATGTGGTAGGTTGCAGCCAGAGTACAGGCACAGTGAAAATCTTATGAAAAATTATCCTCAGGCCATGTATATAAAGTGTATATGAAACATCAAGGAATTTCATTTGACCCCATCACTTTGAGCCTGTGGTAAAGCTCAAGAGCAAGAAGTAGAACAAAACTGCTTACCTCATCAGGAAATCAAAGAGAGAGAAAGGGACCAAGTTCCCAATATTCCCCCTGGGGGTTGTATACCTCCAGTGACCTAAGGACCTCCCATCATGCTCCAGTTCTCAAAGGTTCTAGACCTTTAACATGTGGACCTTGTGGGGGACATTTAAGATCCTAATCGTGGCAAATGCCAAAGGAAAATAAAGCTGTTATTGGGCTGCAGTAGGTGCCAGAGTCCTAACCAGGCATCATTAACTGGGGATAAAACACAAGGGGATCACCATCTGAGCTACTAAGCTCAGAAACCCTGCCCTTGTCCTTGATTTCTCACACCCACTGTCACTGGAATGCCAATAGCAAATACATTAGATCTTCCAATATTGCCTCACAGTTCCTGAGGCTCTGGTTATATTTTTCGGGTACTTTGTTCCCTCTTTTTTCAAATTCAATAGTGTCTTTTGGTCTATCTCCAGAATCCCCAACTCTTTCTATTATCATTTTGGTATTTAGTTCCCCCAAGTCAATTTTCTCCTTCGCATTTTGATTTCTATATGTTGTTAAATTACCAATTAATTCCTTTCCATGGTTGCTGTTGGTCTGCCCAGGATTTTGTTTTTCTGACAGTTACAAGTGTGTTTATCTTTAGCTCACGGTGCTGAGTTAGACTGATGCTTTATTGTTTTGTACTCTAGCTTCAGAGACATCTTGGGGATGTCAACTGTTTGTTTGTTTGTTTGTTTCTTGAGAATTGGTCGCCTTTGTCTTGTTCTTTGTATGTTGCATATTTTCTATATCTTGTATGTTTTAAACATTTCATTTTACTGACTGGGAGTGTTGTTATCCCTCCCCCCCACACACACACTCACAAAAAAAGAACATGGGCTGCTTTGTAGGCTGCACCAGTGAATTCCTAAAGTATTCTCAGCTGATTTCCCTGGTCTTGGTGTCTGCTCACACTTGCAGCAGCCCACCCGGGTTGACCCTCTTAGTCACTAAGAAAGGTTAGGTTAGGAAAGGTCAGCTTCCAGTGTCTGCCTTGGGTGTGTTCCCTGCATGTGGCACTTGGGTTAGTCAGAGACATGCACAGTGGTTCACACTGAGTTCATTTCTCAAAGCCTTCATTGTCCTGCTCTGGATTCATGACATTGGTACCCTGCCCAGGGTTAAGCCCAGAACCTTTGTGGAGACTGAGCTGCTCTGAGTCTCTTCGTGGAGACTGCCACTGCTCCCCTCTGCAGCTTTGAGATGGGGCCTCACCATGTTTAGGCAAAGCCCAAGGTAGGAAGAAAAAGTAAAATAGGAACTGCCCCCACTTGAGCGATCACTTTTTATTTCCTCTCATCATCTGGCTGCTTTCATTTACATTTTAGAGTACTAAGGTTATTGTGTTTTACGCTTCATCCAGAGAGTTTGGTTATATTCAGTGGAGAGATAGTTGGGCTCCCTACCACTGTGGCACCAGAGCTCCCTAAAACTAATCTCACAGGCACAACTTGGCCTCTCTCTCTGGTGTACTTCAGTCAGCATCCTCAGACTTGAGCAAGGAGCCCCAGTACTCATGTCTCCCGTTAAGAGTTTATCACAGTGTCATCCCAAATACCTTTGGAGGTTAAAAAAAGTTACCCCCAGAAACAGATCAAACTTTCCGTTGTCAGCCCCAAGTCTCACAGTAACCTGAGGTATTTTGGCTTCTGCTCTATATGAATGCTGTTATTGAGATCCACAATCGTTGAACTAAAACTCTGCTGGCTAAAACCTTGAGCAAATAGGTCAATTTATTCCTGTGCACTTCAGTTGCCCTATTTACCCTTGCCTTTCAGTTCTTTGGGTTCCTGGCACTTGAATTCTGAGCTGAGTATGGACTCTGCTTTTTGGGCAGATGCCAGACCTTTCTAACAGAGAAATCATCTCCCTCTTCTCGATAACTTTTTATTTCTAGCAGGATCCTAAAGCTTTGTTTTCTGTCCCGTGGTGTCAGCCCTGCTGCCATGACTGCCCTTCCTCGGCCTTCTGCTGGCAGTTCTTAACATGCTGACTGAGCCCCGATCCTCGGTGGAGATGCACTCTTGATCTTCTGGTGGGAGCTTCACCCTCAGGATGTTCCTAAGCCAGAACTAGATGTAGCTTCTCCCAAGGGCACAGTCAGGAAGGGCTCATCTTTTCTTGTCGTGTGTCTCTCCTTCACTCCTGTATCCTCACTCTGCAGATTCTTCTGGGCCTTGAGTAAATAGCAATTCAATTACTTTGGTAACAACCTATTCTGTCTTTTTGTTGCTTTTTACCACTTAGCAGGTTTCTTTACTACTAAGATCTAGCTATACTGTTTCACCACCCTCTCCTGCTTCTGGATCCTTTCTAACAGTCCCTCTGAGTTTTTAAGTTTTAGTTTGTCAAGTGGGGCCTTTCCTTCTCCATGATGTGGAATGCCATTAGCTAAAGGCTATGCATATATTATTGCCTTCAGTCCTCAATATGACAGTGTAGTAAATACTTTTATGCACCCATTTTTACAGATGGTGAAATAAAGTACAGAGAGAAGTAATAAGTAATCTCTCCCAGGTTCCACAGCTGTTAAGCTGTGGTGTGATCAGATCCAAGCCGCTACAGACCAGAATCCACTTGTTTTTGTTTTTGTTTTCTTGTACCAGGTGATTTAGTCAGCTTTTTTGCTGCTGTGACTGAAAGACCCAACTAGAACAACTGTAGAGGAGGAAAGGTTTGTTCAGGGGCTCATGGTTTCTGAGGTTTTAGTCCATAGAAAGTCAGCTCTATTCCTTGGGGGCTCAAGGTGAGGCAGAACATAGAACCATCCTTGCAGAAGACTGTGGTAAAGGGAACCAGCTCACGTGATGATGAGAAAGCAGAGAGAGAGATTCCACTCTCCATGTACAAAATATATACCCCATAGCCACGCTCCCAATAGACC